TCTGCCTCCTCCAGAGATGGGTTGGAGAAAGGGTCAAACTCATAGAGGCAGAGAGAATGAAGGAAAAAAAAGTCCCCACCCAACGAGTCATAACTCTGTGTACTCGGCTGAAGCAACCCAAATCAACTTCACAGGGAAAGGCGTAATTGCAATTAGGGAGTGGAGGTCACATGGGTTTATTTCCAGGAAGAGCTAACAATTTAATTTACAAAGCCATCAGGAGAGCCACAGTGACAAAGGCTCTGTAGTTATGCAGCCAGGCCTACCTCAGCAGCACTCCAGGAAGGAGCAATGCATTTCTCCTGTCATTCATACTTAAGATGGAGCAGTGACGGTGAGTGACGGCTGGGAGCCAGAATTTTCCAGCCGACCTGAATTTTTTATTTCATATATACTTGAAATGAATTTTAAAGACGGACTCGAATCTTCACTCTTCTCCCTGATAAAAGCTTTAGGATGGGGGGAGGAAGGAGGGGAAGGGCAGGCATGGTAATGAGGAATGGGATAATTTGCATGTGTTTAAATGACCTGGACCCTCTCAGGCTAGAAGGCGGGAGATTTTTCTCCTTGATAAGACCTGAAATCACTTCCCCGAAGCTGCGCTTGCCATTTTTCCTTGTTAAATAAATGAATACTAGCTACATTCGTACCTTTGAGAAAGTCTTCCTTTAAATAAATCTTATTGCTATCTTCTCTTTGTAATCAGAGCAGCGACCCGACAGGAATGTCTCTTCTATAGAGTGCCACAAAGATTTAGTAATAGAAGAACTTCTGCCCTGGAGACGTCAGCAAATATACAAAGGACCAGAGTTCTAGCAAACACGCTCATGGTGGTACTTTATCATGCTATTAGTTTATACCCCCCCCCCAAAAAAAAGGCTTGAAACTTTGAAAGCTCTGTTGAGAATAAACAGAGACAACGCAGGACCCGGTGACATAAGCTGCTCCTGTGTGTGTGTGTGTGTGTGTGTGTGTGTGTGTGTGTGTGTGTGAGATCAGAGGGCAGAGTGAGCCCCTCAGAGTGAGCCCTCACTGGGTGTGGATGGTGGAGGATAGAGTATGGGCTCCAGCCTTTGTTGCCCTAGGAATCTCATAGTTCCACACCTCCACCAAATTGCCAGTGTTGGGTAGCACTGCTCAGAGAAGAAGACTCTCAGTGAGGCAGGCCCTGACAGCCAAGCGGCCCTTTATGGCAATGAATAGTCACCCTTAATGAACCCCGTACAGCCTATGGGCACAGGAGGACATATTATCCAGGATAGACACATGCATGGAGGCTGAAGCTGTGCACTAATCCTCCTTGTCACAGTACCTACACTGAGGTGGCCATTACCTTCCTTTCCCCTGCCGTACCTCCATCAGTGGTCCTCCTGTGGGACCCAGAAAACAGGAAGTCTCTGTAGCCACTTGCTAAGTGAGTCCAGTTAGCAAGGTAAGGCCCCGCCGCCTCCGTCAACCCTCAACTGTACTGGGCTGTTTCCCACAATTCCCCCTCATGTGTGCTTCGTTCTGTTTCTTCAGAATCCTTTCAGACCCTGTATGATTTCTTCCCGTGCTTCTAAAATCCACTACAGGAAGCTTTCAATATTTGCGGAATGTATTGGGGGTGGGGACATGCTAGGTTAACCAAAGACTGTCACTTTTTTGAGACATTCCTGGCGGTTGTAAGGGAAAAGAAACCCCATCTTCCTCTCATGCCTCATCTCCATTCAGTTAGTCACCTGGGAAAGGAGTCAAGTAGACTCCAGGTGGACTGTCATCGATCCAGAATGACAGCAGCCATTGCATGCTTGCCTTTAACTGTGTCTACGGAGCCAGAAACCCCAAGAGTTACACAGATAACAGGCTTTTCTCTGGACCCTGGCAACCCCCGATGAAGAGCTCCGACATTACACCATGACACACTAACAAATGAACCTTAAACACGCCTGCTAATTAATTGTGCAAACAGATTTCACAGGGCGCGTTTGCTGACTTACAAGAGAAGAAACCATTTTCAAACAGATTACAAGTATCATTTACATATAAGCCAAATCAATGAAATAGAAATGGAGGCTAAGCCGCTTTGATCTGCTAATCACTTGTATCTGACCATTAAGGATGTCTTCACAAAGCCAGTTAATGGTAGTTAGTTCTTTGGACATTTACTCATGTTAAGTCAGTCATTTGAATTCCCTTGAGCCAGCGTCCCTCATATTGGCTTGAATCAGCGCCATTTCTTTGATTGCCTGGAAGAAGGCACAAAGTGTTAAGTGCCATGAGGACAGGCACTCATTTCCACCTGTCCATGCAGCCCCTGACACACAGTAGGTGCACAGGAAATACTTGTTATGTGCCAGGAGCTGTTCTGAGAGCTGACGACCCTAATGTGACATCCCAGAGGCCCAAGGTGAGGCTTGGGACATGAAGTGGTTTTAGGCAATTCAGCCAAATCCGTCTACTTCAACCGTATAAATAGCATCATTATTTATGCTCTATATTAAACTCAACTATGTTTCTTTGAGATATTAAAATATAAATGGGTATCTGCGAAGAGGGTCTCGCTGTGGTTTTAACACAGCAAATACATTCCTACAACTACCTCTCTGAGGACAGTTCCTCCAACTGCCACGTCACGGTTCCCCAAGGGTCGGCTCAAGAGGAGGGAGGTCTCAGTGGCCTTGTAGCCCCTGGTAGACAGAAGCCACACCATTTCTTGAGAGACTCACAGGCTGATGCCCATGACATTTCCATGGCAAACTCGGGTCTTTGGCTGATTTCTGCATTGCAAATGGGCAAGATAGACAACACCTCTATTCTCAAACGGTAAACGTATGATCTGCTAAGTATACTACCAGGGATGGGTGTGCATTGGACGCCCTTACCCACAGATGCTACATCTAGCGAAGTCCAGACTGTCCCCATGCTCTTGAACATCCATACAGTGCTCCGTCACTGCCGGGTACAAGAACTCTCTCCACTGTTATGGTCCCTGACCTTCGGGCCTTGTCACCTGGATCTTGGAATTCCCAGAGTCCTTTAGGGAAACGGACAAAGGGCACAGGGGGCCTTAGGCAGAGGCTTAGGCCTAGGCCCACCTGAAGAAACGCCCACAGAGACTGTCAGGCCAAAGTGAGGGATGACGGCAGCATATCTGACAGGTTCTACTGAGCATGTCCTAGATAGGGCCACCGGGGATGCTCAAGCATCTGACACCATTCCTAAGAGATACCATATAAATGTTCGTAGTCAAGAAGAGTGGGCTGTTAGTTATAAACAGGAGCGAGAGGAGGTGACAGCGGGCTTTCACCTTGCCCCCATGACTCATCTCCAACACTGAATCCCAACACGTTAACAAAATAAATGTCCTCGCACACTTAAACACGTACGTGATGGGTCACCTTGCACTGTGTGCATCTACCACAATTAAAGAAGCCCTGCAGTCACTTAGACCTACCTCTTAATAGCTCATCTCATAGCCACCATGTCCCCACTATAGTCCTTTCTCAGTGGTTCCCACCCTCATATGCCCAATCTGGAGGAGACATTCTGGGCCATTCTGCTGCCTCCACTGGCTTTTACATGGTATGCACATGGAGAAGCCCCTGCAGACTGTTGCCCAAGGTCTGCCTTAACCTCTGGACCGAAAGATTTCTCAGTTAACACTCGTCTGCTGAGGAACACCATAGAAAATTCCAGAACTGGGTGTTTTCTACTACAGTGACCGTTGCTCTGTCTAACCTCATTTTAAAATCAATTCGCTTTGGGGAAGAGCATCATGAAGTAAAGGCTTTCCCCGGGGGATGGTGGTACTGGGGGTGCCCACTGGAAAGAGAAGAACCAGGAAGAAGAGAATGAAGGAGACTAGACACAGGATACAAGGTCATTCTGTAGGGACTATGGTCATCTGGAGACCATAAATTGGAGCACAACCAAATTTTGGTGTCAAGAAGAAAAAGAATTAGTAAAATCACAAACTACAGAGTGTGGTTCTGCTTTCTTCAGAATGACCGGCTACTTTCTGAGACAAAGGCCAAGGCCAAAGTCAGGTTCCACGTTCTCCGTACATCTGTACTCTGATGAAAATAATGAATAGGATCATCATATCTCTCCAAGTGCATATTTTTATAAGTCCCAGTTTATTTCTTCACTGAAGATTAAGCTGTGAATTACTTCACCCAGACGTTTATCTTGGGAGAGAAAGAGTTAAGAGTTGACATTTAGAAATAAAGTTATCATCTATGTAGCCTGGCAGTATCTTGTAACAGACTTCCCTTGCGTCTTTCTAAGTCCTTGTGACGACTCCAAAGTGCATTTCTTGGCTGGAAAGGCAAGGCTGAAACAGTTCCAGAGCTCATACTGGAGGTCTGGTTCATAGGCAGGAGTCACCGCTTCTTTGAAAAGGAGAGAGACTTGGAAATGATACGGGGAAATTAAGGAGTGGTTTCATCTTCAACTTGTTTCCCCATGGCTCTGCTTCTGGCTTTTGTCTCTCTGTTTTTGAAAAGGCTATGATCCTGTTCAACAATGCAAAGCCATTTTCCCTCCCTACCCAAATCAAATCAGATCCCCAACTTAATGTACGAGGCAATTTGTACAGCCAAAGAAAACTTGACGGTCTCTGGTTGCCAAGACAGTCTATGACGGCAGAAATGGACAGACCTCACAAATCTGTGTCACGTCCCCACATAAAGTTCCATTGAAACATCAGACACAGTAAGAGAGGAACAGCAGTGAGCTCTAACTATAGCAATGCTCAGCAGTAAAAGTTGTTATGAGCTTCTTTGGTGTTTATTTCTAAACTTTTCTATGATTATTTTCAGTCCTGGATTGATCCTGAGCGAATAAAAGGGCAGAAAGCATGAACACTGTGACCCCCAAACCAACTTCGTTGTGTCAATTTTTCATTCCTGGCCCCTCCTCATTTTGGCAAACGAGAGCTCACAGCTGTTCTCTTCTTTCCCAACCTGCTCAGAGCGCCATGCGCGGAAGCAACAGTAGAGGCAACAGCTGGCACCTACCTTGCCCATGCCAGGAGTGTCCTTCACCTTGTTGACGGCCCTCAGGAGACAGGGTGGGGCCGGGGGAGGCGAGGTCTGCAGGACCCCACTGAAGCTGGTAGCAAAGAGGGGAGCCTCCGCAGCAGACGGCGTCGAGGGCCGGTGTTTCTTCTTCTTGGATGACAGGTTTAACTTCTGGGCAGCTCTGCATGGGGACAATAAGGAGGAGATGATGTGACAATCAGAAGCACGGGACTAGCTACTGCTCTCCTTTCTCTTAAAGATCCCCTTGATTATCCCTTCTGTCTTCATTCTTAGTGCCCTGCGCTGCAAGAGAACTTAGTTAACAAGCTATGTAATCACTGAGACAGGAGAACAGAGCTATACAACCACATGGCTCTAAGATCACACGTTACAAGGACTGGCTTGTCCTCCACATCACTCAGACAGGAATGAAGCCGGTCACCTTTGGAGGATATGGAGCACCTATTCCGTTAATCACCCCCACCCCAATTTCTCTGGCATAAGCCCAACTGTGAAGAACCATGCGGGCTCATTTAAAAACTCTTACACCTTGTAAAGCCAGTCAGATGAAGAATCTGGTAGTGATCAATCGGGGCATGCTCTAGCTGTGGAAGTAAGATCCAACCCCCAGTGCACTGGAGAGACGTAAAGCAACTGGCATGAGAAACAGTGAACCAGAAGATTCACTACAGTGAGGCGCGGGGCACAGACTATCGTCTGCTCCGCTGGACAGTGGGCTCTTGTGTAGGGCAGGCGGTAAGGACAAAACGCTATCTATAGGCAAGTATAAGGAAGGAGGGGGTCAAGGTAACAAAGGGCCACAGAAAGGTCCAGATGGGGACAAGTAGGAGGGTGTGGCTGTCAGCATCAACAATAACACTGGCTGTTCACACCACATCTTCCATCATCCAGGTGCAGTGCAACACGTAAGATATGATAATCCTGCTATAGAAAAGACAGAAGTAAGGCAGTGGTGTGAGACAAAGACATTGCACACGTCCTGTTAGACTATTTCTGAGTTAATTCTTCATATAGCGTGTCATGTCTTTCTATAGAAATATATAGATATATACGGGACTTTTATGGGGGCAGGAGACAGTCTTACTATATAGCCCTGACTGGCCTTTAACTCGTGTGTGTGTGTGTGTGCGTGTGTGTGTGTGTGTGTGAGTGTGTGTGTGTGTGTGTGAGTGTGTGTGTGTATGTGTGTGTGCGTGTGTGTGTGTGTGTGTGTGTGTGTATTGGGGGCACTGAGGTGTACTTATTCCCTTATATCAGGATTTTTTGCAGAGTGGAGAAAGTCTGACCATGACTGTGGTCACCCACCGGCGACCATCACCTGGGGCAGGACTGGTACCAAGGAACAGCTTAGAAGAGATTGTGTCTCTGCCAGGTATGCCCATCTCATGCGAGCCACAGATTAAAGAAACGGGCTCCCTCGTAACTAAGGCATGCACAAGGATGATGCGCAGGGGTGTCCCTCCTCCGTGCCCCACCTCCACTCTCTGCTAGATTCGTTCATCCAGCACACAAGCCCTCAGTTCTTTGTCTCTTTTGGAAAACTAAAGCTCACGTGACACTTCCGCAGCTCACCGTGGTGCTGTCCTGACTCGTCTGAGCCAAAATCCCAGCACGTGCCACCTGTCAGCCTCTCACCAACTCCCTTCCTTCCATTCTCTGCAAGCTTTTTTCAGTTGGGCATCTGTCCCCAGCCCTCTGAAATTGCTCAGATGGTTACCGAGAACTGCATAATGGCTGTCATGGGCTCAGCCCCCGCCTGGACCTGTCAGAGCCAAAGATGCTTGCATCCTTGCCCCCTAAGCTTCCAAGACACCCCATTCTCTTCCAGTGTCCTTTTCACAGGAGACACAGGGCTTGGTCCCTACTTCTGTGTGCAGCCACTGGTGTTGGCTTCGGAGATCACATCCTCAGCCTGTGACTCTCCTAACGTTCTACCCAGCTCAGCCACAGAGATTGCTATTTATTTATCCAAACGCCTCTTCAGCACTTCCCCTTGAGTAATAAACGTCACTAACTTGCCATCCCTAAGACTACAGGGCCCATCGCCTTCTGCACAGCTTGTAGGCACTCACGCCTCCCTGTCTCGGAATAAAACAACCCCCTGTCCAGGCACCCAGACCTTGTCTCACGCAACACACCGAATCCTCCTCAAACTTTATCTGCTATAACTAAAACTAAGCCCAAGGCTTTCTCACCACCTCCGACTCCCGTGCTCCCTCTCACTCACCACACACTCCTCCCTTTGATCTGTTAATGTTTAGTGATTTGTTGACATCTATTGGTTAGGCAGTAAATATTAAGATTAGGCCACCCCTACTAGTCTTCAAACACTCTTAGCATATTCCCACCTCCCATTCCTAGCCCTGCCCCCAGGGAGAGAAGCACATGGTTGAAATATCACTTTATCCACACATTCACCCTGCCCATGACAGAAGACTTAAAGATGGTTATATCAATATGTTCTTAAACCATAGCACCTCCGCTGTTGAGGTGGGGTTCGTGTTCCTCCTCCTGGATCCAGAGAGGAACTTTGAAGTTGCCTTGGTCTGCAGGATGTAATGAATGAACTATTGTGTGACTTTCAAGGTTGAGTTACCAAAGGCGATGTGGTTTTTTTTAAGGCTACATGGAAGCCTGGGTCACATGTGTGGACTCCAGAGGACAGACTCATGAGTAAATTGCCCTTTAGATGATTTCTGTCACATTTTCTGCCAGGGTCTCAGATATCAAGGCGTAGACAGAAACCTCACCCGTCACCTCTTGTCTGAATTTCCAAGCCCCAGAAACCACAAAAGCTAATAAATAATCATTGTCACTTTGAGCCACTGTTAGGGGGGATGCCTAGTAACAGCCACAGAAAGGAATAGCTCACTCTGCTGTGTGGCTCTTTCCTCAGGATTGAAGCCTTCCTCTTGTAGGGAGAGAGAGGCTCATAAAGCTCAGGGAACTCATATGACCCATTCCTGGGTTATCTAGGCAGTACACAGCTGTTGGGAGAGAAGACTTCATAATGCTCACTGCAAATCGTAGGCATCCCAGAGATGCAGCTTTCAGAGTCACCACCCATACTTGGGTGGGCTGTACAGCGAGACAGCTCCCCTGTCAGTCATGCTGCTGTAGTGACACCTTGCTAGTGCTCCTGTGAGTAATGTCTCATTGTGCTCCCGTGAGTGACCTTCACCGTGCTCCTGTGAGTAACCCTTCACCGTGCTCCTACAAGTGATCCTTCACTGTGCTCCCATGAGTGGTCCTCCACCATGATCCTGTGAGTGACCCTCCACTGAGCTTCTGTGAGTGATCCTTCACCGTGCTCCCAATAGAAGCCCTTCACTGTGCTCCCGTGAGTGACTCTTCACCGGTCCCCCATGAGTGACCCTTCACTGTGCTCCCGTGAGTGATCCTTCACTGTGCTCCCAGGAGTGACCCTTCACTGTGCTCCCAGGAGTGACCCTTCACTGTGCTACCGTGAGTGACTCTTCACTGTGCTCCCAGGAGTGACCCTTCACTGTGCTCCCAGGAGTGACCCTTCACTGTGCTCCCAGGAGTGACCCTTCACTGTGCTCCCAGGAGTGACCCTTCACTGTGCTCCCAGGAGTGACCCTTCACTGTGCTCCCAGGAGTGACCCTTTACCATGCAAGGTGTCACTACAGGAGCATGGCTGACCCAGGAGCTGTATTATTTAGTTTCCTGCAAAAAGAGCAATGGGCATGGTAGAAACAGAAGGGCCATCTCTAAAAGATACTAAGGAGAAATAGATGATAAACAGAAGAAAGTGCCCGTCAAGCAAGGGTGTTAACTATGTTCACTGGCTTCCTTTTGAATCCTAGATGAAGACTCCACTTAGCACAAAACAAAGCCAGCTCTAGAGGCCCTTCAAACCTTAACCTCAGTTTGAGCAGCTTCTTCTGACAGTGTGCTGGTTAATATTCCTGACACCTTGGCCAGAACTAGATAGAGATCTAGACTCACTTCAGAGACGAGTCTCTAGGATGCCTGTGAGGGGTTATCTAGTGTACTGAGGTGGGAAGACCCATCTCAACATGAATGCCATCATACCATAAACCAGGGGCCTGAGCTGAATAAAAGAACAGTGTGCAGATGGCCAGCATTCATCTGCTTCCTGACTGTAGGAATGTCACCTGCTGCCTCACGCTCCTGGCACCATGACCCCCCCACCGTGATGGACATGCCACACCCTCCATACCCTCCATCATGACGGACACACCATACCCTCCATATCCCTCCATCATGACGGACACGCCATACCCTCCATATCCCCCGCCATGATGGACACGCCATACCCTCCATCATGACGGACACACCATACCCTCCATATCCCTCCATCATGACGGACACGCCATACCCTCCATATCCCCCGCCATGATGGACACGCCATACCCTCCATATCCCCCGCCATGACGGACACGCCATACCCTCCATATCCCCCGCCATGATGGACACGCCACACCCTCCATAAATTACCTTTGTCAGGGTATTTTGTTATTACAACAATGAGAAAAATGACTAACGTAGATACTAAGTAGGTAATAATAGGCAAACTGCATAAATTCTGACTATTGTGCTCACATAGTGCTTGGCAAATCATTATCTTTTTTTTATTATTATCATCATCACATTGACTGTTACCAATTTGGTTTGTCCCCAGTAAGACTCAGAAAAAACACTATCTGCTTTTAAGGCTCTTTTAGGAAACTATTTAAGATGTCATCAAGGGCTTAGTGTACCAACGAAGGGTACTTCAGAGAGGTCCATAACAAGTACTGGAGCTAAGATTGAGTTTCGATGGAGGACCCTGGCATTGAACCTCATCACCTTTAAACAGGGATTAGATTTGTGTGACAAAAATCTATCGGAGCAAAACACTAGGTGAAACATAAACGCATATTGGCTTTATAATTAGAAGGGAATTTTCCTAAAAGTGAGAGAGCCTATTCTTGATAAATCAGCCTCCTATTTTGTCACTGCAAGTGTCTAAGTGGTGGGTGGAAACCATTTAAAAGGAATATCAGAGAGGAAAACATGCAGGGAGGAGGCAGGCGATTTCCTGTGTCTTGCAGCACAGAGACTGAATGTAAAGACAATTAGACTTGCCAGTCCACTTAGGAAAGCCCCACTGGCTTCCACTAAGAAAAACTAGA